AAATTAAAATAACAAAAGCTTCACATATTACATTTGTTCTTAAGAATTATAGAGTACATTTTTTAACTAGTACGGTGTAATCTAACGTATAAAGATCGGCCTTTCCGCACGATCAACCAATTCATAATACATTTGGTGGTGAGTTGTACTTTTATTAACTTTGCTATTTGTAGAAAATCTTTAGAGACTACAAAAAAATTGTTATATTTCAACAGAAAATTCTATGATAATATATTTCAATGAAAATTTCAACGGATATTCTAATGGTATAGCAGCTTTCGTTGGAATAGTTCCAACAGTAATTCCAACTGAAATATTCTGTTGGAATGTGTTTTTCATTAGAATTTTAAATGGAATTTGATGATTCCAACGACTCTTTACATAGGAATTTCCGTTGGAATATGCAATATCTTTTAGAATTTTTATTTCCATACCTGGACAATTCACCGTTTTAATCGTCAAAATCCAACGAAAATTCCAATAGAAAACTCATCACAACGGAATATTTTGGCTGAAACTTTCATTGGAATCCATTGAAAAATTCCAACGGAAATAATAGTATTGAAATATCTGTTGGAATTGACATTAAAATAATTATATTGGAATATATTTTCCTTGAAATTTCATCATTTTCTTGTAGTGAGAGAAGATAAAAGCAATAGAATAAAAAAAAAAAAAAAAATGCAGCATAGAAATACTTGGCTGCTTGAATGGAGAAAAAATTGATACGGTGCATGAAGCTCTATCCACCACATAGAATCTAACAAAATAGTACTTGCATTAGGAAAATTGATCCCTCATTGCTGTACGGGTTTTGCCACGGTGCTAATAATCGAGGTTTATATGTCAGCATTACCTTTAACTTTGCTGTCGATGAACTGCAGCCCAACATAACATCGTCACTTTGCGCAGTCGATACTGCTACGGTAGTTATGCTGCGAATACCGTGTTGTCGTGACCGCGCATTTGATTCGCTAGACCCAATATATATATTGTGATGTCGTCACAAAGTTGCAGTCAAATTGTTCCTTAATATTCTTCAATAATTGTTTCTCCATATCTCAATTATTTATCAATAAATATTCTCTCTTGAATTATTCCTCTTCGATAATTATTCTCTACTGTTACACTGTAATATTTTTTTGCAGCCTAATATGACATCATACGAAAAGGAAGAGATATATGCCTGTCTCCATTTCAACTCAACCCATAATTCCCCATCATACGACTATGAGTCTGTTAGAAACATTCTTAAATCTCCATTTCAACCTAAGGCGAATCATCCGGTCTTGCT